CAGGTAAATCCCATCTGAACTGAACCTGTTATTTTTTAAGCTCCTCAGCCAAAAAAGCAAAGTCCTTTCTGTTTCTAAGAATTTTTGGAGGTATTTCTTTTAAAATTATAACATCTTGAGCTGCAATTTGAAATCTCTGCTTATAAAAAGCCTGTATAATTTCATTACGAAGTGATCTTCTGGAAAAATAAATAACCACATCTCTTGATAAATTTCTCTGCCTCGCAATCCATGAATTAACCCTAAATTTTTTTTCTATCTCTCTCAAAATTTCTTCAGGTTCACATCCCAAAATGGGAGCTAAGTCTGCTGCAATTTCTTCTTTTAGATTCTCTTGCAAATTCTCCTTCAGCCCTCTTATTTGCAAAGCAAATTCCATGTCTCTATATTGTGACATAATAATTTCATTCTGTGTTGTATCAACCTTATTTTCAACTTTTCCAACTCTATCTTCTAATCTTTCAACATTTTCACCACATCATCCACACGCTCATCTAGATGCTCTACATGGGCTGCTAACCCTTGGAGTGCTAGCACTATGTCTTCTCTCATCTTCCTATTTTTATCTTCAAAAAGCTCTGCCATCTCTTCTTTAATCTGCCATGCTGTTTTCCCCAAAGCATACTGTAAATCTTTAAGTGTAAATGCTGGTGGTGGGGGAGAAGATGGTGGAGACTTGGGCTTATTTTGCTGTACAGTCTGAATTAGTGGAGAGGAAATTGAGCCTTTAGGAAGAGCAGAAATTCCAAGATGTTTTGAAGCCATTTTCAAATTGTTTAAAACCACTTCTTATAAGTCTTATATGATCTTATAAAACCAATTAAAAAAATTGAAATGAGGGGATAGTAAAAACAAATCCCCCCAAATAAGAAAAGAAGCTTGCTTTTTAAATAAGCAACCAAAGTCCGTTACATTGTTTAAACTTTGTTGCCAAGTAAAAGTCTTTCTTAACAATGTCTTTTCAAACAAAGAAACAGCATTCCTTCGCCATTTTTCTCTTCTTCCTTTTGTTAAAATAATAGGTGGAGAAGATACTTTAATTATTTCCTGAGTTAAAGTCCCAAATTCTCACAATTCTGATCGTCCTGATCAGCTCCGTCTGCTTTTAATTTTACTCACAGATCTCTCTAAATTGCAGATGTGGAAGCAGCATCTGGCTTTGTTTCTGAAAACAAAGGCGTCCTAGGATGCGGAAAAAACCTCAGACTCTGAGGGAGTTCTCTCCCTTTGCTCTCCCCCCCAAATTATGGAGGAGCTGGGGAACTCAACCTCTATCTGAGAAAGCTCACCTCCTCCCCTTCTCCCGGGGAGGGAGGCTTCAAGCCGCAAAACAGCTATTGTTCGCCGTCTCTGCAGGCTTTAACACATTTGCAGGGCGGACGGCTAGAGAGAAGCCACCATCGGCGTGGCAATCACCACCGGAAATACCATTAACATTCTTCAATCCGTAATCCTCCAGATATGCAAGAACACAATTCTGATAAAGTAAGAACTGAAGTTCAACAAAAGCAGAGAAGATTGATCCTTATAAAATCTTCTGACCTTCTTAAAAGCATCTGTCTCTATAATTAGGTGCAGCTTTGATCTGACCCATAAGGCTATTGTTGTTCCTTTTCCAAGATGGAACTGTCCTCTTATCTGATCTAGAATTTTTTTTTTCAAATGAGTGTGGAACAGGGCATAGGAAGAAAGAGAGCAAAAGAAATAGCGAATACACAAACAAATATAAATCAAATCTGGTTGGTGAGCCAGCATGTAAGCATGACTCAAAATGACCAATACAGAAAAGGACAAAGCATATTGTAAAATGTGCCCAGAGGATCAGCATAGGCTGTAGTCCTACTTCCTAAAGAGGAGACTGGCTTCATCGTATACTTATTGTCCAGATATTGTGGGCTTTGTTGGAGCTAATCTTCATAGTTAGAGTGGAACATTTGAACAAGCATTTGGTCTCTTTTAAAATGTGTTTTCATTGTTAAACCATGACTTTTAGATAGTATTCACGGATTGCACTAAGTCCTGGTTTGTTTAGTTGTAGTTGTTGATTTAACTACAGTTGGTCGGACTCAGTAATTGCATCTGCTACAGTTTATAAACTACTGTGGCTTGATTAACATACTAAAATAACTATGGAGATTTTGTATGATATCTTAATCAGACTTTATCTGAAAGTAGAGAACTTTGTGTTTCATGGGGACAAAAATGAAATTGTATGTGGAAGGAGTCCATTCTTACCGCTTTGGGCTTCTGTTAAAGTATGCCGAAAACACCAAGAAATTGGAATTTTTCAAAATGTACTGTATTGAATATCTGTGAGAACTAAAGAATTCAGCCTTTGCAAAATAAATGATCTAGGTGTTGCTTCTCTTAATTAAGTTACAATTCAATAACATAATTGTTAGTTTCACAGCTAGATCCTCTAGGAGAAGAGGAGATCTTGTGAGAATTTTAACATAGATGGAGAATAACAGATTATTGTCAAAGATTCTGTTTCCTTCTTGCTGATCTAGAAAGATAGCTTGTTCTTTCCTAAGCACATTATCTGGCCTGGAAATTGGTTTTCCTTGTTTTTAGAGTGTTTGGGTGGTAAAGCTACCAAATGAAAGTTAACAGTCAGAAGATAGCACTCTTCCAAGAAAACACTAATTGCCTATTTATAATTAATGAGGATTGAAAAGAGAATGTTATTTTTATATTTTTCTACTAAATGAATTCCAATCGGAAAAGGACCACTTGGTTCTCTATATGTTTTTTCATAGGCAGCAAATATTTTCAATGTAATGGATACCAGCTTTCTATCATAAATATCCAATTCTTCTTCTTCTTGTGCCATATCCATTATCAGACGTTGGTGATCATGTTGGTTATCCTGTTTTTATCAGCAGCCATCCAAAAAAGTGGTGCTGAGTTTTGTCCAAACCAATCCCTTAGATTTTGAAGCCACGATGTTCTTCTGCCTGGACCTCATTTGCCTTCAATCTTTCCCTGGGGGATTAAATGGAGTATGTTGTATTTTCTGGGTGTGGCATCACATGTCCGAAATATTCTAATTTTCATTTTTTAATTGTTTTGATGATTTCCCTTGGCTTTCCCAGGTGGCTTATCACCTCCTCATTTCTGATCTTGTCAACCCAGCTTATATGTAACAGCCGCCTGTAAATCCACATTTCAAATGCTTCTAGTCTCTTCAGGTGGCCTTCTGTCAGAAACCAACTCTCTACTCCATAGAGCAGGATAGAAAAAATATAGCATCTGACAAGCCTGATTATTTCCCCCATCGCTAGATCATTGGCGAATTGAGGAAGGGGGCTGCTAAGAACAGAACAAAATATTGAAAAGAAAGGAAGATGTAAGAGATGCAAATGCTGGCAAATACTGCTATTGAAAACTATGGGTGTCCTTGAGATTAGGCTTGTTAAAATCATTTGGGCTGAAATTTCCTCTTTTGTTAGATCGTTTCTCCCCTTCTGGTTACTTTTTCCTTTCCTCTCTCCAGTTTTTCCCCTCACCTTTCTCTCTGATGCAGCTCCCCATCCCACCCTTATTGTCCTCTTTTTCTTGACAGGACTGAGAAAGAAATGTGTGTGTGGGGAGGGTGAGGGTCTCTATGCTGATGTTTGTCTCTGTGTGAGAAAAGTTTCTGTATGTAAGAATTGTCAGGGGATATAGATGGAGTCAGCCAATGTCATAAATAGGGGCATCCTATTATGCAGGCAAGTAATTTAAATTAATTATTAAGTTAAGTCCTTAATTATTTTTGTGCTGGCTCTTCCTTTTCTTCAAAGGTAGATTCTGGGGAGGGTATGTGTATCAACCACAGCCATAGCAGAATGATAAGCATGTGATAATTTCATCATCCAAAAACCACCAGCAATCATTTACTTGTTAGGACATTAGATACAAGGGTGTTGTGTTTGCCATGGCACTTAAAAGCACATATTATCATTTGCTCCCTTCTCCCCACAAATATCCCTAGTGTTTGCCACCCCCAGGTCTGATAAATGTGAAGCCAGGAGGGACTGCTTTTCAGTTTAACTGGTTCTTCAGAAAAGTCTTCCTGTGGGAATCAGGCTGATATCCTGGATTATACTCAGACACATATTAAAGATCAAGCTGTTCTGGAAAGCATTTCAACTTATTTGGGGTCATTTGTGTTGTTACTGCTTCTTTTTTCTCCTGAGTTGTCATTTTAATATTCCGAAGGTTAATTTTATGTTTTTAGATTTACCATGAATATTGTAAATTGTCCCACATATGGTACTCATATAATCTCCCAGGATTTGGGTTGCTTGTAATGTGACACAAATACAATAAATAAATTTTGGGTAAAGGAAGACAGCTGGATGTTGCACAGGATTTTCTGTTTAACAATTATCTGCTGTTTCTTTTGTGGATGATTGTCTTATGTGCACTATTGCAGGCTAACTGTGCCCACAGTTGGAATTCATTCATGAAGGGCTCAAGGTTGCTACAGCCTTCCATCTTTTCAAGATTGGTAAAATAAGGATCCAGATTGTTAGAGGCAATATGCTGACATTGTAACACCCCCCCCCACCCAGAGAGTGCTGTGAAGCACTAGCAGCGGTATATAAGTTAAAGTCCTCCTATTCACTTTCCTCAACTGCTTATCCCTCTTTTTTCTAGCTATAAGTAATTTGCAGTAATTTGTTTTAGTAGCTAGAGAATGGTAGCCAGGCCTTACAAACTGATGTTCCAGTTGAAATAGATGGTATAACATACTGTCACTCTGACCCCAAAATTAATCACAAATATCTGAGTGATCTTATGAACTCAAATGATTATCTGTAAAAGAGGCTACTACATAGTTCTGGCAATTCTGTGATGTCAGGAATCATGGTAAAATGACATCACAAGGAGACGGAACTCTCAGCTTCCAGTGACCTTCTCCTGCAGCCTTCATATGGAATGACATGTGGTTGTTTGGTAACCATATAGGGTCACCCCCACTGTGGGCTGCAATATTGCAAGGCATTCTTCATTGGAGTCAGATGACCACGAGAGGATGTGCAGCATGGGATGTGTTGCCACATCTGCTACCCGATTTTCTTTTGTTGGGATTCTTCTGGTGTGTTTTAAAAGTTTGGATGGATTCATACTTCTATGCCCAGCCTCAAACATTAATTGTAGAAGGAATACCAATTCTCCCACTTATGACAATCTGCATATTCAGGAGACACTTGGTAATTCCATTGAAATTGACAGTCCATCTATTTTAAAATCAGTGAGTAGATTAAATAAACCAAATCCTCATGAATATTTGGATGAAAAGGGATCTCATGAAAATCTGCTGAAAAGATTGTACAAATCACCCAATGTTCTACAAGTGGCACCCAGAGCAAAAACAACTGAAAATGCAGAAGGGACTCTAGAGCTGGGCATCCAAAATGCATTACCTACAGAAATTACAGAAGCTTTTGGTGACATCAACATGAGGACTAAAAGCCCTCTGGAAATCGTAAGGACCCATCAGGAAACAAGACATGAAGATAATGAGCTTGAAAAAAATCCTAGGGAAGAATATTTATTTCTTAGGTTTCTAAAAAACAGGAGACAATTTGCAGAAACTATTGGAAAACTTGTAGTAGAGCAAGTAAAACCTGTTCCATGTACAATGGTTGAAAAATCATGGAAGCCTGCGGGGCAAAAAGGGCCTATGGAGGTTAACAGGCAGACCCAGGTGTCTCCCAAAGCAAACATGACAGACAATACAGAGAAAAATTATGAGTTGCATATCAAAAAAGTGGCTACAGAAATTTTAGAAGCTTTTGGTGACATCAGTCTGAGGACTAAAAGCCCTCTGGAAAGCTTAAGGAGCCATCAGAAAACAAGACAGGAAGATCATGAGCTTAGGAAAAATCCAAGGGAAGAACAGTTATTTCCTAGGTTCCTAATAAAAAGACGAGGATTTGCAAAACTCACTGGAAGACTTGCATCAGAGCAAGGAAAACTTACTTCATATTCCATAGTTAAAAAAACAGGGAATTCTGAAGCGCTAATATTGCCTCAGCAAGTTTCTTCCCTTAACAGGCTTCCTGAAGCAATAGTTCATTCCTTAAAGAAGCGCTCCATTTTATATCTTCCAACTGAGCTACCTCCTTTGACTTCTTCTACTGTAGAGGATGATGGTGGTGAGGAAGAGAATGGTAAAGTCATCTTTATTCTGAAATCTGGCAACACATCAGCAAGGTCCAGACATGGAAACCACAGTGTAAAAGAGCAAAATACTCAAAGCGAACAAATCACAGAGAATGTTTTGGAGAAGGAACTTCAATCTCAGGATTCAAGAAGGGAAGACCTCAGACACTTGATAATTGGAGGAAGCAACTCTAGAAGGCCTACTGATGAGTCTAAAAGTTTGGATGAACTGTTACCTGAGAAAAGATTATCTAATGAAGCGCATTGGGAGTATCAGGAAGAAACCACATCTGCTCTCCTATTGTCTGATTTTTCCTCAACCACTGATAACTCTTTGCTTCAGGGTGATGTCTTTGAAGCTGAGGTGCAAATACTCTTGGCACAGCTGATCCTCAATGAGCGCATCAGGAACCTAATTTCCCACTTGATCCGTTTAATCAAAGTGGATTGCAGAGAACTAACTACCCAGAACTCTTGTGGTTTTCTCATCTCAAGAATAGGTCTTGTTATGAAACTGTACAATAAGAGAAAAAGCACCCAGGAGGCATCTGCTCTGTTGAAATCGTCCTTGTTTCTGGGGGAAAATATAAAGAATATGACTACAGCAAGCTCCAGAAAAATGGAGAAACCTTCTGATGAGGTAAAAGCAACCTACATAAATACTCCAAGAGGTGCCCAAATAGGAGTATTACAAGATTTGGTTATCTAGATGTGTCTCTTTTTTTTCCAGGAGGCCAAATTGATGTAAATTAATTATGCATTCATTTCTGTAAAGACAATTACTGTTTTTGACTAAATGCCTTGTTAGACTGTTTATAATAATGTGCAGGTACAAAGACCACATCTCTGCCTGATTCCCATGTCTGTATACTAGGATAAGCGACGTGTATATATGTAAGGTTTTTACCAATTGTGATCAGCATCTGGGGAGAGTGGCATATAGCACAAAGCTAAAGAAAGTGAAAATCAAGAAAAACAGAATGAGGTTCAGAATTAAAACAGAAATTTCAGATATGATGATTTTAGGAAAACTGGATTGGTAAAACTGTTATTGTTTTTAAAGGGTAGATGGGCACAAATATACTTTTTTTGGGGGAAAAAATATGGATTAGAAGAACTGCAAGAGTCTGCTATATTTCTTTCATAAGGATGATAACTGGTCATTAAAGAAAATGATACACTGAACAGTGGTATAATCAAATGTCTCCTGCGTTAAGATGATGATGATGATTGTGATGATGTATCATTGTCGCTGGTTTGATTTAGCAACTTAATTTCTCCTTTTGAATTTTGATATGCTATATTAAAGGAAAAAAAATAAATATAAGAAATATGTAAATATTTTTAATGCTAAATTTCCTAAACAGCAAAGGAAAATGAACTTGGACAATAGTATATAGTACATATTGTCTATATTCACATGATACTAAACAATAGTATCAATAGTGCTAGGCTTCATTAACAGAGGGATAGAATCAAGATCACGTGAAGTATTAATACCACTCTTCAATGCCTTGGTAAGGCCACACTTGGAATACTGCATCCAGTTTTGGTCACCATGATGTAAAAAAGATGTTGAGACTCTAGAAAGAGTACAGAGAAGAGCACCAAAGATGATTAGGGGACTGGAGGCTAAAACATATAAGGAACGGTTGCGAGAATTGGGTATGTCTAGTTTAACGAAGAGAAGGACAAGGGGGGACATGATAGCAGTATTCCAATATCTCAGGGGCTGCCATAAAGAAGAGGGAATCAAGCTATTTTTCAAAGCACCTGAAGGCAGGACAAGAAGCAAAGGGTGGAAACTAATCAAGGAGAGAAGCAACCTAGAACTAAGGAGAAACTTCCTGACAGTGAGAACAATTAATCAGTGGAACAGCTTGCCTCCAGAAGCAGTAAATGCTCCAACACAGGAAGTTTTTAAGAAGAGACTGGACAGCCATTTGTCCAAAATGGTGTAGGGTTTCCTGCCCGAGCAGGGGGTTGGACTAGATGACCTCCAAGGTCCCTTCCAACTTTACTACTATTATTATTATATTTGCTTTAATTTTTCTAATAATCCATACCCAGTATTGCACAAAAAGAGAATAATTGTCACTTGTTTACTTAATTCCTGGCTACTTTTTAAAAATATTTTTTAATTTTAGACATATTGTATTTCCCATGTCCTAGTGGCAATAATACTTTTCTAATCTATATTTATAGAACTACTAAATTAAGCGTTCGGCAGTGATTTTTGTTAATGTTTTACAAACTTATTTTTATATAATGTATGTATTTCATTTTTACTGTAATTTTATAATTCGAAAGCAGTTTATTATGAGCATGTATTTATAAGACTGTGCCTATGGGCTTTTTTTCGATATAGCTATATTTTTTTAATCCAATGGATATTTTTAGGTTTGTGGGGCTAATAGATGATTTGGCACATAGACTTCAGAATCTTCAATCTGTCTGATATTCAGCAGACAAAATGGATGGTGAAAAAGTTGCCAGGGAAAGTTACAAGACTGCATTCTGAAACTTGCCCTTGTCTTGCCTTGATTTCACGATGAAATGGTTAGGGTCTTGGATATGGCAAAGTATAAACCAACAATAAACCAGGATTCCAAGGTCAAGATAATAATTACTAATAATAATTAAAACATGGTATGGCTTAGTAAACTAACTTCAGGCTATGGATTTAGATTATATTTGTTGCTCAAATCTTATTAGATATGGACTAAGATATTCAAATTAATCAAATTTTAGATTAGCGTTATCTGAGAACCAAGCTGTTATAAAACGGTCTGGTACATACCGATGAATAGAAGTTGCCCTTTATATCATTAGTCAGAATGGAGTAGATGTTGAAATACGAAAAGGCCCATCTTCCATTTTATTTCTTTTTATTTAACCTTGCAGATACCAAAGCAGGGAATTTCACAATATGGGAATGGCATCAATTGGCCTTTAGCTGTTTCAGTGACAACGGTGATGGTGGTTATTATTGTAATAATTTGTTTCATTGAGGTAAGCTAAAGTATTTTTTCTAGAGATCCTTATATCAGTTTATTAACCTACTATATCTCAAAGTCCAGTAATGAAGAGATAAACTTCTCCAAACTCTCAGTATACTGCTTTAATGAAAAGCTAGCAGTCCCCCACATTACTGCAGTCAGGATTTAATAGGATATATTCATCCTCAAAGAGGCAGATGTTGCAGTGAGATAGCAACATCACAAGAAAGGGTGGGACTGATTTTTATATAATGATTGGTGAAGGGGGCAAATAGGGTAACTAAATGGATGTACTGAATTTGGATTCATTCCACTTCCAATTCTGATAGGGAACATCCAGTTGGTGGGCTTGGTTTGGTCCATAAGACCTTCTTATGAGGCTTACCAAGAAAATGTTGGAGACCCCACACCTTTTTACAAAGAGAAAATGGAGAAAAGGAAGAGTTTCTTATTGAGAAGCAGAGAAAAAAAAAACATAGTTCTCTGTGTCAGTCATTGTTTCTTTTCCTCACTGTGAAAAATCTTTTACATTTATCCCTCACTATCGCACCTCTCTTTTCGGATTAAACAGATCTGTTCTCATCGATCTGCAAAAGGAACGGAAGGAACCCCTCAAGAAAACCGGTAACTCTTCCCTGGAGAGACTTAGTTATTTTCAACTCTCTACTCTGAAAATCCTCTTTATGAGGATCCAGTCTCAAGATTAGGTGCCAAGGCACCTATGAGTTTCACTCTTAAAAAGTAAAATTTAGTTCACAAGATGCTGCATCTAGAAGTTGAAAACAGTGAAATCATCATTGAATAATCTCTCTTTTTTTTGCTGGCTGAATTTGTATATTTAGCATTGGCTTCCTGCTGTATTCCTCAACTGGACCCATATCCTTTGTTCCCTAAAACTTACCTCTTGGCAACTTCAAATTATTTTCAGTGCTCAACAAATATTAAACTTGAAATTGTCTGAAGAACATACATGCTAATGAACCCCAAAATAAGTAAAACTCTAAAGAAATACGTGGTTACCTGCAACATGTGCTCTTAAAGTTCTGGAGACAATCGCAGGTTGTGCTTCAGCATAAGAGGCAAACAAGTGTCCTATTGCCTGCACATTGCTTGTTTGTGCACACAGAAGAGTCTTGTGATTGAAAAGACCTTTTGAGTCCATTTTGAGAAACAGCCATATATATAATAAGAGTTTATATACTCCTCCAATACAGAAATGTATGCCATATTTGGTTTAAACATTGTCAAAAGGGTTTTATCTAGGCTATGAACTCACTATTTTTCTCTTTAATTGTTTCTTTAAGGACATTTCTGGGTAGAAAGAAGAAAGCTATACCTGAAAAACAGGTATGTAAATGCAGGAGCAACCACTGGTGATCTGGCTATCAATTTTCTTATTGGATCTAAAAAACAAGGCTCCAAACTCCCATAAATATTAGAGATGTGGCTTAGGCAGGCTTCAATTATCAAGTCTTAATAATAATAATAATAATAATAATAATAATAATAATAATACAAGTTAAACTGTGACTGGGTGATGGATTTTTAAAAATTTTGCAAGCTGCCTGGAATCACTATCTGTAAGTTGGACAGTTACATAAATTAATTTAAATAAATAAATAAAAAATATAATCCTTTTATTTTGGGAGTATATTAAACTCAGTGAGACTTACTTCTGAGTAAATAGGCTTTAGGACTGGGTTGCAGTGTTTGACATAGGTTGGCTTTTACTTGGTAACTGATGTCTATAGCCATTTGTTGTGCTCCCTCTAAAAAATAGTGTCAAATTTGCTGCATCACGTGACGTGTCGTGACTTATTGCGACGTTTTTTGCATTGCCGGAGCTAGGATGGGTACGGCAGCCATATGATGCAAGCGGCCCATGGGCCAGCAATTTGACATCCCTGCTCTAAATGTAGATGTTCCTGTTTTAAAGCCACTCACTGTGTTTTAGTCATCTGAGCCAGGCAGGAAAATCTCTCCATGTTGACAGTAGTGTGGATAAAGATGGCAGCTTCCCAGCCGTTCCTTCTGAATTTGCCAGTTTCTGCTGCCTCTCACCATTTCTTCTGGATCATGTAAGCCAATCTGTTATCTTCAAGAACAGGAGGCACCCTGATATTCTGCTCGCACAGAAGTAATTCAGAACCACTCTGGCTTCTCTCTGCAGAGGGAGAAAAAGGCAGTTGTCACAGCCAACAGTCTTGAGCCCAGCCTGTCCTACACCTGTGATTTCTAGATGATTGACAATTTGAAATGCCCAAATATATACTATGGTATTTAGAAAAAAACAGTGTTTTGAACCATTTTTGGTAGATATTTTTATGACATAGTTCAAATGACCAGAAAATTATTTATGAAATAAATCACAATAGCTGGATTCAAAAAACTTGAAGGGAAAATCTGATTTAAATATGTGAGGTGTGTTGAATCAAACATGTAAACCAGATGTTACAATTTTATGTATTTTGTATATTTATCATTATTCCTATGGGATCTTTTCAGGGAAAAAGTTTTGCTACAACCATTTCTGACATTAATTATACCAAAATTAACAGACATGGTTTGTGGAGGTTTTGTGCATTGCAACTATCGTTTCCATTAATTTGGGAGACAGCATACATGAAGCAAGACTGGTCTTTTGAAACGATCCCATAGAAATAGTAGTGATGCACACAATTTACTTAAACCAGAGTTGTATGACCAGATGAATTGATAAAAGCCTTGTTCCTATACAACATTAAGCCATACATTTATTTCATAGATATAATTAAACACAAATTAAATGACATATATTAAGCATAACAACACTTGCAAAGTTGAGGAATGCCAGTACTGGAGGAATTTTTTTAACTGCAGCAGGAAGACCTGGAGGAACATTGTCCATGGGGTTACAATGGGTCAGACACAACTTTGCAACTAACAACAACAACTAACTACTAATGTTATTGGCTACTAACACTAATTAGCAGAAGTATAAAATACTTCTATCATACAGTAGATAAAGAGGGAGCTAAAACTGGAGACCTAATGAGGAGTTCACAGTTACGTTTGCTCTGATTTGCTAACCATATATTCTATCAGGAAGAACTTTCATTCCAGGATCTGGAATTTGAATTTGAGATATAAACACAATGATAATGCAAGATGAAAATTAAAATGTTAGACTGAAGTTTTATGATCATTTTTCACATCCTTTGCTTAGACTTTAGCATCTTCTTTTGAGAAGCCTCTTTGGCTTAATGAAATTTATCAATCTGTTGATAAACTGTGGAAAAAATACAGCAGGGATAAATTACGCAATGAAGAATCCCCGGAAGAGGAAGAGATATTTAATCATGACAGCATAAGGTATTTTACTTACCCTTTCCCTTCTTTGGCATATATTACAAGAAAGAAGCTGACAAAGCATGATGATGATGGTGGTGGTGGTGGTGGTGATGATGATGATGCATTCACTCATGTCCAACTCTTGGCGATTCTATGGACCAGGTCTTGCCACATGTTCCTATCTTGCACTACTTGAGTTTCTGTCTGCTCTGGTTGATGTCAGCAATGATGGAGTATGGCCACTATATTCTTTGACAGCCTGGTTTCCTTTTACTGCTCACTCTTCCAAATGTAATTGCATTCTCCAGTTAATTCCCTGCATGACATGACCAAAGTAAAACTAGAGGGGGAATTGTCCCATTCTGCAACTTAGAGAACGTCTTTATACTTTTCATTACTAAATTCTTGAAGATCACAAGTGCGCATGAATGTAACTCAGAAGCTACAACTGGTCCAAAAAGCACTGGCATATGCAGGATTGGATATTCTAGATTTGCCCATGTTACACCTCTGTTGTATGAACTATGCTGGCTGCCAGCTTCCTTCTGGGTGTAATTCAAGGTGCTGGTTGTCACCTTTAAATCCCGGCATGGCAGGGACCAGGATATTTGCGGATCGCTTCCCCCCCCCCCCAAATGATTCAGCAAGTCCTCTTTTAGCCTTTTGGAAGGCTGTCAATACCTGGGCTTTTACCCGGGTGCAGGGATGGAGAAAAGAATGTCTGAAATCAATGGTGGTACACCCCAAAGGGATGACTGAGAAGCCTGGTGTTTATTCTCATTTTATGGTTTTATAGTTATTGGATTTATTGTAATGAGCCACCAAGAATTTTGTTTAAGATGGGCAGCCATCCAAATATTTTTTTATAGAGGTAAACATGTGGCATTCTATAGAAATGCTTATTTTCGTCTTCCACTGAAAATAACCCACAATATTTCTGCAAGAAGGTACAATGAGTGAAAATGTAGATGTTTTCTCTGCTGACTGCAAAATCTGGATGTTCTATTCATATACTGCTTCTATAGTATGAATTAGCTTTTCTGGCTGAGGTTGTCTTCTCTGAATATGGGCATACTCCAATGCAGAGCCAATGTATGTAATATTGTCTTGAAAATAGGTTTGTTTATGACCTTCATGTACAAGAGCTGTACATGAAGAACAAACCATACAAGTTGCAAAAAATAAAATAATCTTAAACCTTATTGTTGCACAACAAACTCTGTAATTTCTGCTCTTCTTTATTTATCAGATCTCAAGAAATCCCTCAACCTCCTCCTGTGGAAATAATGTGAGTTACTATATGTACCACAGAACTATTACTGATTTTGTTTTCCTGTTTAAAAGTTCGAGCACCACAGCGAGTCTTCTGAATTTTTGTTGATATGAAATTATTAGAAATCCTTAGAGTGCTGTTTCCAACACAATTGAGTAACTGAGCAGAGTTCAAAACTTTGGAAGAACACTTATGGTATTTCGTTGAATTTTAAAAATTTAAATATATTAGGTATTTTTAGATTACATATTAAAGGGTTTATCCTCTGCAATAATGTATTTTATTTTTCAAATGTAGCTACTTTTTCCTCATATTTTAGCAATCCAAAAGTGAGGATAAAATTAAATTAATATTTTAGAAAAAGCTGCGATTGATCGAGATCCAGTTTCTAGCATCAGGCAAGAAACCAGGAGGTGCTGAGTTCTAGTTTCACCTTGGCTCAGTCACTCTCTCAGCCCTAGGAAGGAGGCAATGGCAAACCACTTCTGAAATCTTCCCAAGAAAACTGCAGAGATGAGTCCAGGCAGTTGCCAGGAGTCAATACTGATAGGAAGGCATGTACGCAAACAATCATTGTTAAATAAACAAATCCACCAAAAATCTTTATGTAAATCCCTTAAAACTGGTTACCTTAGAACAGGAATGCCATCTGGGTGCAGAACAAATTAAACAGATATACCTTTAACTAGTAAAAGCTTTAAGGCTCTAAAACAGTAGTTCTCAACCTGTGGGTCGGGACCCATTTCACGAGGGTCGCCAAACAACGCAGTCCACCATTTTCCCTCCTTTTCCTTAGCTGTGCTACTCCCTTTTATTCTATTGGCTTTTGAAAGCCAATAGATAGACTCTCTTGAATAGAGTCTAATTATATTGGCTTTCAAAAGCCAATAGGAATTGTCCAGGCTGTCTCTGCCCTGCTGAGCCCGCCAAAAGTCCCATTCTGCAAACGGTGCTGCAAGTTGTTTGCAGCGAAGGCGAGCTGTCTGGAAGCTTCCACCGCTCCCTGCTGAGCAACTACTAAAAATGTAAGTAAAAGAGGGCCAGGGGTGGGAGGTGGGAGGCCAACAGGCGCAGGGTGAGTTGCTGGCGCGCGTGGGACCCGGCGGGTGCCTTACCTCCCTTGGGCTGGGCCAGCTGGTGGCCCAGCCAGTGGTCGGCCAGCTCTGTCTCTGCCACTTGCCAGCTACGGCTCGGCCAGCGCAGGGGGTGGCACCACGCATGCGCGACGCTCCCGGGCAGGGAAAGTCCTCGACTTACGACCGGTTGGGTAGTCCTCAACTTACGACCGATTGGGTAGTCCTCGACTTAAAACCGGTTGGGGGTCACGGCATTAAAAAGGTTGAGAACCACTGCTCTAAAAGAACTGCAACAGAAGTCCTTTATTATGGGATCAGACCCTATTTTGTTCAATGACAAATACAAATTTTATATGGTTAAAATGTGTTTATTATTGTATTGCATCCTGTCCTGTAGAACTGTTTATAGTCTCTCGAAATAGAGAAGATACATGGTTTTTCCAGAAAACTAATTCCTTCTGTATCAAAGCTAGACAAAAAATTGTTTATGTTTTTATTTTTTGGATATATGTTTTACCATGTTTTTCCTGTGGACTTAAGACAGCATATAGGAGAGTCCCCACTCATTTTATCTCAACAGCAACAAATCCTGTGAGGTAGATTTCTCCCAGGAAGCAACAGGCACCAAATCAGACAGAGGATTCCATGAGATTTGAACTTGGGACTCCCCACACCTGATTCAACAGTTTGACTCAGTTATCCCTTTAATTCACGCTCTCAGCTATGAATTAAAAAACTGAAGCAGAATGAAAATACATAAAAGAAATAAATCTATGTAAGCATCAAAGGCTTAAAAAAAGGAAGAACAGTCTGCTTAGGCATTTTGGAAAAGCTAGACTTGAGATGCAATGAAGGTTAGGGCCTGTGTGCATTCTCTATCATGCACGCAACACCTGGGTTTTGAATCAAAGTCATCTTAGGATGCTCATGAGCAACTACATGATTGTTGTTCCCTTTAGAGAAAATGTAAAATGCCGGGTTCACGTAATGAAACAAAAGAACACAACTTGGATCTTTATTAACCCACTTTAAACTGGGATTAATCTCTGTTTCTGTTTTGTCTTCCTAGAGAGCTAATGCCACCACCACCACCAGCAGAAGCTGAAGCTGAAGCTCCGGCTCCGGCTCTGGCTCCAGCTCCAGCTCCAGCTCCGGCTCCGGCTCCGGCTCCGGCTCCAGCTCCGGCTCCAGAACCTGTGAAAAAGGCCAGTTCGAAGAAACTGTGAGTACCTGTAGAGTTATACATGTGGCATATTATTTCTTTTCTTGAAGTTAGATCCACCCATAGATTCTAATTCATTCAATTTATGAAATAGTTGTGGTGGCTCAGTAGTTAGAATGCGGTATTCCAGGCTAACTCACTGCTCACTGCCAGGAGTTCAATCCTGACTCAGCCTTCCATCCTTCCCATGTCAGCAACATGGGGACCCAGATTGTTGGGGAGCAATGTTCCTCAATCACAGAGCCTTTAAACTGTGTGGGTGTCAACTTTCAGAATTCCCTGGCCAGCCATGCTTAATATTAACATCTTAAAGATGTGAGGTTGAGGAAAACCAGTCTAAAACTTTCTTCCATTTTAAGAAGTTTGAAATCCTGGGAAGGAGACAAGCTTAGATGCAGAAGAGTTCTTTCTAACTTCTATTAAAACATCTTTCTATTCTTTGTCAGGTCTGAAAAAGAGAGCCCAACTAGTGAAACTTCTCCAAAGACGGAGTAAGTAGCACAGTCTTTCAAGGATTGTTCTTTAACTTAGAACTTTTTTCCTCCAAGATATTTCCTGGAAAGGAGACAATCTTAATTACAGCAGAGTTCTTTTTAACTTCTATTAAAAACATCTTTCTGTTCTTTGTCAGGTCTGAAAAAGAGAGCCCAACTAGTGAAACTTCTCCAAAGACGGAGTGAGTAGAACAGTTTGTCAAGGACTATTCTTTAACTCAGACCTCTTCCCCCCAAGATACTTCTACATAATGCATTTGTTTAAAACAATACCTAGTTTATACTGTTATTAAAACTAAGAATTCTATACACCCAAAAATCTTTGCATATATAAACTAAATATAAAATAGACTGCATGCAGAATTGTAATATCCTAGTTCCTCCCGCACTGTAATAGTCTGAAATAATTTGGAAAAAATAGAAGATCCGTTTTTAGTAGCTGAAGACATTTTAGACTCTAAGAGCAGACTGAATTAAAAATTCAGATCAGGAGAAGCAGAACTAGGAAGCAGAGAACGCCTAGCACTCGCTAACCTGGTTGAAAAATACAAGGCAAAAGGTAGCATTCTTTCCAGACTGCTCCACTCCCCAAACCCAAATGAGAGTTTCTAGCTGAGTGCTAGAAACTGCCCAAAATAATTTGCTGCCCAAATCTGAGCAGCAGAAAGTGCTTCCCTCCCATGGAGGCATAATTTATTTTTGGTGCCCCCCCCCCATTAAGGAAGATTTTATGAAATCCTCTCACTCTCTCTACCTGTAAGTGAACTGAGTTAATGATGCTACAAAACTGATTTTCTTGCTGGCACAATAGGGATGAGAAGTGCCTTGGACAATGATTTTGATACTGGGCACAAAAGAGGATTGACCTCTTGTGCCACAAATTAACTTACCTGCAAACTTGTTCCAACTTGACTAGGGCTTGGATAAGAAGGTTTAAATATGAGGTTGATTGTCTCTGCTGTGGCTCCTCTCCCTTGGAATATCTTAGCTCCTGAGGTGAGATCAGCTCCCACCCTTCTGACCTTCCACAAGGGCCTGAAGACCTGGCTCTGCCAGATGGCTGGGAGCCCCAAGAGGGGAGCATTATCCAGGAGGTGGTTGATGAATTAGGAGACAATACCACCTTCCCCCCTTCACTGAGCATCCTACTCCCTTCCCATCTTATATCTTTTAGTTACTGTATTTTCCGGTGTATAGGACGACTCAGCGTATAAGATGACCCCTGACTTTGGCGCCAAGTTGCATGCCTAGAAAGTCATCTTATATGCCGGAAACTACCATAATTTCCAGCGTATAAGACGACTCAGCGTATAAGACAACCCCCGATTTCGGCGCCAATTTGAATGCTTTAGAAAGTCATCTTATACGCCGGAAAATATGGTATCTTTTATTTATTAACTTTGTCTTTGATTATAATTTCATTTTTATCATCTTAGAAATATTTATCTTTGATGGTTTTAATGCTTTTAATGCTGTAAACCTCCCAGGGTTGCTTTGGAACAAGATGGGTTGAATTAAATTGAATAAATAAACAAATAAATCACTAGGCCAAGCTGACCAGGTGATGATAAAATATTCAACTGCTCCCAGAGCAATACTTAACTTCTGCTGTTAATTTTTTTTTAATCAGGGCTTCAGGAACGGAAGAAGAAGGAACTGAAGGAACTTCAAAGAAGGGGTAAGTAGCTTCAGTGTGCAAATCGGGATTATTTATCTTTAAGAATTTTGAAGTGGTTCAGAATGCATTTGCAGATCCACATTTATAGGATACTTAAAGTGTAAAACATCTCATAATTTGCTTATTTCATTGTTCATCAGTAGAAAGAAGTTCTAGTAGGAAATAGGAAAAGGAAGGAGAAAGACTAGAAAAGAGCAAAACCTTTTTACCTTTTCCAGTTCTGGAATATCAAACACCTATTACAAAAGGGAGCAGATGCTCCTTTATTGTACGTTCATTGTATGTTTGTGTTGTATACATGTGAATGCAATTTCCCATCATTTTTCTATCTATCTGATTCTAACAGTTTGGAGGCTTTTTCAGTTTTGCTTTTGCATTTTATTTAATTTGGTCCTATATTTACTCTTTGAAGAATAATCAGAAAAGCTGCAATAAATTAATAAAGCTCTCCACTTGAGCACTATATTGTGGGAAGAATCCCGAGAAAGAAATATTTTGGGAAATATTAAAAAGGCAGAATGTATTTCCCCAAAGGATTTTAAAGGCAGAAACTAACCCCCGCCAAGTCTCTCTGCTTCAAACAGAAACCAGGTCTGCAGAAATGCAGATGTGATAATCCTGTCAGAAAGATTGGAGTCAGGAAGCTGGGATTAGAAAGAAAGATCCTAGAATCAACAATCCCTCACACCAAAAAATCCAACAGTCATCAGCCACAGCCACAGGGAAGCAAGATATGACCTTTGGGACATAATAGGACTAACCCACCACCATCAGAATACTAGAAAGTCACACTCAGGTCAAAGTTCATGCCACAAGAACAACTCCAAACAAAAGCCCAAGAAGTGAATTCCATTCAAATTTAAACTCAATTCATGTTCTGACGTATTTCTAACCATCGATAAAAGTTTTCCCAAGTTTTAAAATAAATTGAGTCTTCTTTCTTCTTCATTTCCAAAATTAATCTGTCCATTTCTGCACAATCTAAAATTTTTGAGATTATATCCTGGTCAGATGGTAAATTTTCATTTTTCTAAAATTGGGCAAATACTATTCTTGCAGCAATTATTATATGTAGTATTAGTCATTCTCTTTACCATAGCTAGATCTTACTATTCCTAACAAAAACAATTCTGGTTTAACTTCTATCCATACTTTCATCATCTTTTCCAGCCATCTATGAATCTTAAGCCAGTATTTCTTTGTGACAGGGCATATCCACCAGGCATGGTAATAAGTGCCTGAGTTTTGTTTACATTTCCAACAAGTGTTTGATATATTTTTAAACATTTTCACTAATCGAACTGGTGTCATATGCCATCTATAAAATATCTTATATAGATTTTCTCTATATGTTGCTGCTTTAGTAAGTTTAATATTTTTATCCCAAAGTTTCTGCCAGTCTTCTAAGTCTATAGAGTATCTAAAATTCTTTGCCCATATTATTATTGTTTCTTTTACTTGTTCTTCTTCCATCTTCCATCTTAACAGACATTTATAAAGTTTCTTAATCAAGTTCTCATCTGTTTTCAAAAGTATTTTATCAAGTGGAATCTGCTCTTTGTAAAATCCCATTGATTTTATATTTTTTTCATATCTTGTTTGAATTTGCAAATAAGACCACCATGTTAACTCAATACCTTGTTGTTGAAGAATTTACTTGTCTTTAAGTTTTCCATCTTTATCCAAAATATCTTTATAACTAACAAGTTTATCATAGTTAATCAAATTTGAATAAGCAAATGCTTCCATTGTTGAAAGCCACTCAGGTATTTTCACGTACATTTTGTGTCTAATTCTCTCCCATTCTGAAAGCAATACATTTCTCATGGCATGATTTTGAAAGTATTTGTGTGCTTTAGTTTTCTCATACCATAAAAAGATGTACCAACCTAGTTGGAGGTCATGTCCCTCTAAGTAGAGAAGTCGTTTATTTCTCAGTGTAATCCATTCTTTCAGCCAAAGTAAAATAGCTGCTTGATAATAAAGTCTCCAGTCCAGAAGTCCAAAGCCCCCTCTATCTTTGGAATCTCATAAAAGTTTACATTTAATTCTTGCTTGCTTTCTTTGCCATATAAATCTTAGTATTATTGCGTTCAGATTGTCAAAAAATGTCTTGCTCAATTTAACAGGGACTGTTTGAAAGAGAAAAATTAACTTTGGTAGAATGTTCATCTTAATTGTCGCTATTCTTCCTAGCACTGATAATTGAAGATTTCCCCACTTTTCCAAGTCTACTTTTATTTGTTTTATTAATCTCTCATAGTTGTCCTCTTTTAATGTTGTATATTTTGCAGTTAGATAAATACCTAGGTATTTAACTTTTTTGGCTATTTGAGGATTTGTCTTTTTGGCAAGTTGAGTTTTCTGTTTATCAGTTAAGTTTTTTGTTAAAACTTTGGTCTCTTCCCTATTTATTTTCAATCCAGCCACATCTCCAAATTCCTCAACTTTCTGCAAAGGTTTAGGGGCTGTTTCCAGTGGCTCCTCTAAAATAAAGTCCAAATCATCCGCAAAAGCCTGTAGTTTATATTTCTGATCTTTAATCTCTAAACCTTTAATTTCCTTATCTTGTCTAATATTTCTAGCCAATACTTCCAATGTAAGAATAAATAACAAGGGAGATAGTGGACATCTCTATCTTGTGCCTTTTTTAATATCAAATCCATCTGTATAATCTCCGTTTAAGAGTATTCTTGCTGTTTGTTTCTTATAAATTGCTTGAATTGCTTTAATAAAGTTCTCACCAAAATCCATTTCCTGTAACTGTTGAAACATGAATTGCCAATTTAGATTATCAAAAGCTTTTTGTGTGTCAAGGAATACAAGTGCCATCTGATTCCCTGGATAATTTTCATAGTATTCCAAAGCATTTAAAATAATCCTTAAATTGTTCTTTATCTGTCTTCTAGGGAGAAAGCCATTTTGATTTGGATGAATGAATTCAGTTAGAAAATTTGTCATTCTTTGTGCCATTATTGCCACAAAGATTTTGTAATTCACATTTAATAATGATATTGGTCTAAAATTTTTAATTTGTCTAAGGTCAGTATCTTTCTTGGGTATCAGAGTAATATTGGCTTCCATCCATGAGTTTGGTATTTTTGTCTGTATAAAAATTTCATTACACAAGTCTTTCAAAATTGGAGTTACAGTATCTTGTAAGGCTACATAAAATTCTGCAGGTAATCCATCCGGCCCCGGTGTTTTGTCTTTCTTTTGTCTTTTTATTGCCTCTATAATTTCCGTCATTGATATCATCTCATTTAATCTCTGTTGCATATTCTCAGGAACCTTTGGAAGATTTGCTTCTTTTAAATAGTCCTGAATTGCCTTTTTAGAAACCACCTCCGCCTTATAGAGTGTCTCATAGTAGGCCTTAATATTTTTTTTCATTGCATCATTATGATAATGTAACTCTCCCTTTGAATCCTGCAGTTTACTTATTAATCTTTTTTCTCTTTCTTTTTTCAATCTATATGCAAGCCATCTTCCCAGTTTATTAGCATTTTCAAAAAAGTTCTGTTTGGTTCGTTTAATCTGTTATGCCAATATATCCATCTCAAGTAAATTTAATTATAGATTAGATCTATAGTGTGTTTTACTCCTAAGTACATTTACACTGGGATGCCATAATAAGAATCCTTCCAAACACTGGTTTACTAGGAATAAACCGTATTCTGTTTTTAGCTGCACCCATTTTAAAAACACTGGAAGTTTTTAAGAAGAGACTGGACAGCCATTTGTCCGAAATGGTGTAGGGTTTCCTGCCCGAGCAGGGAGTTGGACTAGATGATCTCCAAGGTCCCTTCCAACTTTACTATTATTATTATTATTCCTCCTATTGAAATAACTTTCATTTAGCACAGATGCTTGTTTACAGGGACACAGAAATTGTCATTTATTTATTAAACAAATGTGTATAAGTGCCCAACTCACATAAGGTAATTCCAGGCAGCTTAAAACATTAATGTTATGAACAACAAATTTAATTCAAACATGCCAAAAAAGAGAGGCCAGAGCACAGTAGTCCTTTCCTCAGTCTTCTTGGAAGACTTCTGGAATCTTGTTTTACTGCTCACCTTAGGGCTTCACTTCTCTCTTTCCCTGTCCCTACCCTAGACAGAAAGTGATGCTGCCAGACCCAAAGTAGCTATTGTGAGAAGATTCTGTGGATGGTTACCGAGTCCTCTTCCCTTAGAGCGCCTGGCTATCCGAGCGTTGTTGAAATTGCTTCTCATCCTGCCTTCTGTATTAGAATCCTCTTAGAGCAACTCCTACAATGGTTAATATTCTCAGGACCTGAACTGTCTTCTTAGCAACCGTATTTAGGATGAGTTCATTTGAGATACTAAATATGGTTGGCTAGTTTATATCTCCAGGGGTTGTGCCAACCCAGGAAACTGGGCTAATTCAATAAAGGAGTTCATTTCTCGTGAGGCAGTGTGTTGTGTATCAATAAAGCTCTTAGCAAGATAGGCACCAATAGAAAAAGCTCACAGGAAAGCAAACAGTGACATCATTGCTGATTCTCTGCTTCTTAGAAAGGGACTAACAGCAACGTGTCCGTTCTACCTTTTGTTGAAAAATGGATGAAAACACCGCTTGCGCTCTGAACTCCTGCCTAGTTATTCATAATCTCTCAATATTCTTTTCAAGCCCTTTTTGGCAGTGTCATTGGCTCTGACATGAAATCGAAAAAACGGGTATTGATTTTCTATTATCTTTCTATCTTTAACGGCTTGAACAGTTGGAAAAGCCAAACAGGAGCAAACAAGAAGCAGAATTGTGACAGGCCAGTCTTAGGACTCCCTTGATCCTTGCTATGTATAGTTGCTCTCTTCTGCTCTTTTTCTGCATGGTCACTACTGAGCATGGCAGAAATTCAACAGCTCTAAAATTCTTGCTCTTCTCAGAAAAGAATAAGGATTCTGGATCTATTATAATAATAATAGTTTGACAAAAGTGGAACAGACTGATTAGAAGACTGTAGTTTTATAAGCACATTGTAATATCATCTTTTATTCCTTTTCTATCTACAGAAGTTCAGAAGAGGAAGAAGGGGAGGAAGGTGAAGAAGACTAATCCTACTTATCCAGAGCACTGTTTATTTTAAATATTTTATTATTAAATACATTATTTGTCATTCATCTTTTTTATTGTTACCCTTATCCTGAGGCTTAAAAATATTTCATAATAGCCATTCTCCCATCTGGAACAACTGGTGCTGCCCCCAGATAGGTGCTGTGCCTCTATATTCCCAGAATAAATGAACTTGTTGAACTATTTATTCTAACAAGCTATCATCATTTAAAAAAGCTTACAAGAATTAAAATAGCTATACGATAAAGCAATGCATGAAAGCAAGAGCAGATTACTCTCTTCATTAAAGTTGAAGAGAGGGAGAGATTATTAGTTTTACTGGAATTATCTGTTATCACATACTACCATCTATTTTGCAAAATTTTCCTAAACTGTGGGTCCATAAGTTGTTATATCTTTGGTTCTTTAGGCACTGAACGAGACAGAGTGTTGAAACAGCAAACAAGTTTATTAACTCAGAACAGAAGCAGCCCTAAAGGCTGCTGCACAGCTATTTATATGGCTTCGGTGCTTGGCGTGCTTTTGGAGGGCTGCAGCGCTTTAATGGCCCCTCCGGCGGCTTCATCTGCCATGACCTCCTTCAAGCCTCCAAACTGTTAGAATAAGATAGAAAAAAAATGATGGGAAATTGCATCCATATGTATACAACACAAACATACAATGAACGTACAATAAAGGAGCATCTGCTCCCTTTTGTAATAGATGTTTGATTTTCCAGAACTGGAAAAGGTAAAAAGGTTTTGCTCTTTTCTAGTCTTTCTCCTTCCTTTTCCTATTTCCTTCTAAAATGTCTTCTTTCTACTGATGAACAATGAAATAAGCAAGTTATGAGATGCTTTACACTTTAAGTATTATGTACTGGGATCTTTGAGGCATTTCGAGGTGAAGGTGAAAATAACATGTTTATTGGTTAACACAGAGCAGCTCTAACAGCCGCTTAAGTTCTTTTTTTATGGACCGCCGATAGGCGGCAGCCAATGGAATTAAAGCAGTTATTCCCACCCAAAACACAAACTTACAATTCTGTAAACAGGCAGTCTGGAGTTTAAACGGACAAAGCAGTTACTTATTTATAACTGATTCCAAGTAATTTACATCAAGAAATAACACCCCTTCCCCGTAGATAGTTCACAATTTCAAGTATTGAACATAGTCCCTCAAATACTTTGGTGGCTTCCATGACCATTCCGAACGTCTCAGAACTGCTGGAGGTTCCCAGTCTACCAGCTCCCTTTCCTGGCTGGATGGACTGGGACTCTGAGACCTGTTCACTATGGGTAGACCTGTGTCTTTTTGGCTGGTCTGGCCAAGTAGACCTGCACCAATATCCATTGGTGGAACAGTTTCTGCTGAGCTGGAAGTCGGGGCCGTCTGCTGGTTTTGCTCAGTAGGTGCAGTCTCTGTGCTCAGAGGTGACTCAATTCCCACTATTACACCATCCATGCCACTGGGAGTCTCCCCAGCACTTTGAGACTCTGATGCAAGGCTGCTGTCATGCTGTTCTTGGTTTTGACTCTCAACCATATTGTGAGCCAGCGACTGGTTCACTAGCCTCCGGCACAATTGGTCGATGTGCTGGCATAGCACTCGACTGTCTTTGAGGACCACTTTGTAAGAGAGTGGTCCTGACACCTTACAAACCACAGCTACCACCCATGGTGCCCCTTGACCATAATTTCATGCCCAAACCCGGTCACCTACTTGCAAGTTCCAAGGGGGCTTTGGCTGTGCTGTGTCCGAGGCAACTTGGTCTGGATGCAGATGATCCAACTTGGTGGTTAAACGCCATTCCCATCTGAGTTCTGCAGGGTGTCTTGCATTGGCAAAGTAAAAAGTCTGCCAGCCGATGCTGCCAATCGCCGGTCACGATTCTCTTTAATGACTCTTTGGTCGTTCGAACCATGCATTCCGCTTGGCCATTCAAAGCCCGGTGAAAGGGGGCTGAACTGGCATGCCTGATCATGTTAGCCCTCAAAAAGGGCTGAAATTCTGCAGCAGTAAATTGAGCCCCCTTGTCAGAAACAATTATGTCGGGTAACCCGTGTGTGGCAAAGATTCTGTGTAGTTCCTGGATGGTCCTGGCAGTAGTCATAGTAGGGACAGGTGCAACATCTAACCACTTAGAGTCACTGTCCATGACAATGAGGAACAGTTGTCCCTAGAATGGTCTCACAAAGTCTATGTAGATTCTGGACCATGGGGTTTGCATGGTTTCCTAGCGATGTACTGGGGCTTGAGGCATTTCGGGTCTGGTATGCTGGCAAGCATGATAACTTTGTACTTGGACCTCAATATCCTTATCCAACCCTGGCCACTACAGGTAGCTTCTCATGAGTGCCTTCATCGTGACTATCCCAGGATGTCCCTCATGCAGAGATTCTAAAACCCTATCCTCAAGGAGTTTGTAACTATGACCCGACTTCCCCAAAGAATGCAACCTTTGTGAGCTGACAGCTCATCCTTTCTTCTCCTGAAGCTGTGAAAGTCTGCCCCCAGATTAGCTTCTGGCTATCCCCTGAGCACCCAGTTCAAAACATGACTGAGCATTTTATCATAGACTGTCCCAGCAGCCATATCCCCACCATGAAGGGGAGACTCTGGCAAGTCCTGGATTGCCAGGATGAGTGCAGCGGGTGCGGGGTCTGGCTCTGAGTTTGGCAGGGACAGTCTGCTAAGCGCATCAGTGTGACCCATTTCCCTGCCTGGTTTGTGAATTAGATAACTATAAGCGGCAAGAAAAATGGATCATCTCAGCATCCGTGGAGATAGGATCTGAGGATTTTGTTTGTCTGTCATGAATAGACCAAGTAGTGGCTTATGGTCGGTGAAGACTGTGAATGGGCAACCATAAAGGAAATCATGAAATTTTTTGATGTCGGCCATGATGGCCAGTGCTTCTTTATCTGTTTGGGCATAGTTGCGTTCCACCTGTGACAGTGTCCTTGAATAATAAGCTATGGGAGCTTGCCTCCTGTTGGCCATTAAAGGGCTCAACATGGCTCCTATTCCATATGGAGATGCATCACATGCAATGCTGATAGGCAGCTTTTCATTAAAATGTGCAAGCATGGAGTGTGATGACAACAGTGATTTGATTGCCTTGAAACTCTTCTCGTGGGCACTCGTCCACTGCCAAGGGGCCTTCTTGTCCAAGAGCCTGTGTAAGGACTCTGCTAATGCTTCCTTATGAGGCAGGAATGCATGGTAGAAATTGAGTAACCCCAAAAATGCCTTTAGCTCCCCCTTTGACTTTGGTCTGCTGAATAGATTGGAGCTTAGATTCAGTAGGGTGAATGCCTGCAGCATCTATATGAAAACCGAGGAACTCTGTTGAGTCCACACTATTTGGTATTTGTCCTTTTAAGCTTCAGCCGCGCTTCGTGGAAATGCTGAAGGACAGCTTTGAGCTGTTCTGCCAATATTTCTACTGACTCTCCAGCTATGAGGATGTCGTTGAAATAAGGGCATACACCTGGGATGTTTTTGAGCGTGCACTACATAACAGTCTGGAAAAGACCTGGGACCACACTGACCCCAAACTGCAGGTGACAAACCCTGAATGCTCCCCTGTGGGTTACTATAGTTTGAGCTTCTGCCGTGGCATCGTCCATGGGCAGTTGCTGGTATGCCTGTGCCAAATCCAATTTGGCAAATATGCGACCTCCCTACAATGATGCCAAGATATGGCTGACAACAGGTACCGGATATGCATGCTGTTGAAGTGCTTTATTTAGAGTGCACTTATAATCCATGCATATGCGCACCTCACCATTGGATTTAAGTGGTGTGACTACGGGAGTTTCCCACAAACTGCTATCTACTGGCTGCAACACGCCTTATTGCACCAGCTTGTCCAGCTCTGCATTGATTTTTGGTTTGAGGGCAAAAGGCATTCTGTGAGGCTTGATCCTGATTGGGGTTATGGTTGGATCAAGGTGAAGGACGATTGGAGCTCCCTTGTACTTGCTAAGCTAGGGCTGAAGACATCAGCATATTCCTGGCAAACAGTCATCAGGTCCGCTGCTTGCGTTTTATTTATGCCAGAACACTCCAACAACATGCATATCCAGTGCCTGTAGTCAGCCACATTTTGGCATCACTACAGGGAGGTCGCATCTTTGCCAAGTTAGATTTGGCTCAAGCCTATTAGCAACTGCCGGTGGATGATGCCACAGTGGAAACTCAAACCATAATTATTCACAGAGGAGCTTTCAAGGTTAAGCGCTTACAATTCGGGGTCAGTGTTGCCCAGGCCTCTTCCAGGGAGTGATGGAGCACATGCTCAAGGGTATTCCAGGCATGTGCCCATATTTCGATGATGTCCTCATAGCTGGGGAATCAGTCAAAAAATTGGCAGAACGGTTCAAAGCCGTTCTTCAGCGCTTCCCCGAAGCGGGGCTGAAACTGAAGCAGGAGAAATGTAAGATTGGGGTAGCTTCAACTGAGTTCCTTGGTTTCTGTATAGATGCCCAAGGCATTCATCCTGCTGAATCCAAGCTCAAAACAATTCAGCAGGCCTCCAGTCCAAAATCAAAGGGGGAGCTCCAAGCATTTCTTGGACTGCTCAATTTTTATCGTACCTTCCTACCTCACAAGGCCATAATGGCAGAGCTGTTACATTGGCTCTTGGACAAACATGCACAGTGGAAGTGGACCAATGTCCACAATAGGAGCTTCTCAGCAGTCAAATCACTGCTGTCTTCAAATTCAGTTTTGATCTATTTTAACGAAAAGCTGCCTGTCTGCATCGCTTGTGATGCATCACCATATGGGGTTGGGGCTGTGTTGAGTCATTTAATGGCTGATGGAAGGCAAATTCCAATAGCCTATTACTCAAGGACCTTGTCCTCTGCAGAGCGTAATTACGCTCAAATAGATAAAGAGGCCTTGGCCATAATGGCAGGAATCAAGAAGTTTCATGATTATCTATATGGTAGGCCCTTCACAGTCTTCACAGACCGTAAGCCACTCCTGGGCTAGTTCATAACAAACAAGCAAACACCCCAGATCATATCCCCTAGGATGTTGACATGGTCAATTTTCCTGTCAGTATATGATTATAGTTTGATTCATAA